TGAAAAACATAGAGAAAGTAACAAAGCATGAAACTTACATTGTAGTTTACGTGTTTTGGATGATATGATCATTTGTAATGCTCATGTCTCTGAATAACATGAATGTGAAGAGAGATTTAAGTACATATGGATCCACAAGAAGAAACGTCATAATCGTTGGTCTGCGCATATAAACTAAAATTGTAAATTAAAAAACCAAAAGAAAAATACATATGAAAGCATTCTTCTCCTTCTAAGCTCTAACAAACAATCATTAAATAGAAATATGATACCTATGAACATATTTAAAAAGTAAGAATTAGAATTCAAATAGATCTACGATTAACCAAATCATATAGAAAGATAAAAAAAAATTCCTGCATCGTGGTGAAATCGTTATAATAGGGCATCTGTATATAAACCAAAAGAAAAATCAGCTCTGATGAAATATGTATATGTAAAAGCTTAATGATGTAAAATAACAAAAACAATATCAACATAAAAAGTTCAGAATAAAAAGTTCAGTGCCTTCGTTTCTCATACTGTGAATGTCTTATATATAGTAAATTGATGGATGTTTCTCAATGATTTAGCTTGCATGATAAGCTAATAAAATGATATGCATATGATATGATTTTAACTTGCGCAAGTAATCAATATTAGTAAGGTAAGTTAATAAAATTAAGTTTCCTAATTTGATACAAATTGTTAAATGTCATTAAGCAATGTAATCAATATGATATCAAGAGTAAATGGTTTACCGTATTTGTAATAAGGAAACTTATTAATACATGTATTAATTAATATTCTTGTGCAAGTAATATGTAATGAGGTTAGTAATTAGTGTTGCTTTCCTATTAGGTTGTCGATGATAAAAATAAATCTAAAAAGAAATTCTAAAAAAATTAACCAATAAGATTAAGAGAATTCTTCTGAGAAGCTCTGTATGAGTGCCATGTGGCAAATGTACTTCTCTTTTAATGTATAGGGGGATTTACGAGTACTTGTGAACTATTTACAGATTTTTTTGGAAACTACTAACTAAATAATATTCGGTTAGAAATAGACATGAAATTTTGTTTTGATTATTCTACTTAAAATAACATATAAATTACTTTAAAGAAAATATTTGTCCATATTATAAAAAAGACAAATAAAAAAATGCATATTATGATATAGAAACATTGTATAATGTTCACGATAACAAGAATGTTTTCTCTTAATAAGTAACAAGTAATAACAAATTATATAACTAAATTTTTAATACTTGTTACTATGTAATACCTGACTAGATAACGACGAGTATTCAAAAATTAAGATTCAATACGAAATAAGTAACAAGTATAAGAAGAGTAGTGAGTATTTGTATCCAGTCCTAAATGCAAGAAAAGACAAATATGAAACACTAATTAATAGATCATGTAACAAATAGCAAGTAATGGAACAAGTAACGGGGGAGAACGAGTCAAGTACAAAAAATAATAATGATACGTGATACTTGACTTAGTCTTGCAAGTAAAGAAAATTGTCACCTTGTTCCTTGCCTTGACAACACCGGATACTTAAATTTTCAAAGCGAGTACGAATCAAGTACCGAGTTTAAGGCAAGTAACAGGTAATGATGCCCAGCCCTACTTAATGATCGGACTTTATAAAAATGTACTAGGTGTTTTTCCGCACCACTTACAATGAATTTTTTTAAACTTAAATTATATTTAATAAAAAAATTTATTATTATTATTATAGATTTTATTATTACCAATATTCAAATATAGATTTGATTTAGTCAAACATTAAATTAAGATACAATATTTTTGTTTATTTAAAATTATATTTAATAATATATATGTAATATTTAAAATTATAATCATAGATATATTTTTATCCATTTATATTGCTTAAATATATTGAGTTAATGTGTATAAAATTAATCAAAGTGATAATAAATTGTATAATTATAAAAAATTTAAACTAAAAAATATTTACAAAATTGTAGATATATAAGAAACTAATGATTTTACGATTAGAAATTTATATTTTTAATACACATTTTATAATATAAAAATAAAATAGAATAATATTTCGAAATTTGTAATGTTATATTATTTAAGGATGATTTATGAGTTATTACCATATTTTAATTCTTTTACTGTAAATAAATATTAACATTAAATGTAAAGTATGCGCTATTACCATATTTTAAAAGTAAATATCAACATTAAATGTAGCAATTTATATTTTTAGAAATTTATATTCTTAAAAAGTTGTAGAAATTTTTGAAAACTTTAGTAATTCAAATTGTATAATATAAAAAAATAAATTAGAATAATATTTCGAAATTTGTAATGTTATATTTGAATACATTTATTTTAAAGATGATGTCTAAATTATTACCATATTTTAATTTTTTACTGTAAATAAATATAAACATTAAATGTAAGGTATATGTTATTACCATATCTAAAAAGTTTACCAAAAATTTAAATCAATATTAAAAATAATTATTCATATCATATCTTGCCATAAGTTATGTCATCAATAGTAGTCATGTCATATTTTTGTGTGAAACTGATTGTATAGATAATATGTGACAAAATCACTTCATAAATAATGTATAGGATACTTGTTTTCACTTTTATATGCGTTACATCTTTACATGATGTACATGTGTGTGTTTTTTTTAAGTTGGACAATTTAAAGACTTAAAGTCGCTTTTTACAATGGGCCAGGCCAACAAAGATGGTTTAGATACCAATTAATAATACAGCCCAACGGATGCAACCATACTGGTTCAACAAAATCAGATCTAATCACATCTGCCAATAATTTTATACGTAGCTTATTTGGTTTTATATTCCCTTAGAAAGACTTTTTTAAAGAATGTGGTTCTGTGGTAACTAGTGAGTGACCACTCACACAACTTGTCCAGTTTGCGAATATTTTTTTAGTTGAGAAGCTTAAGTCTGCTTTCCATGAAGGTTATCATGTTCAGTAGGAAGTAAGAGATGGGCTCCATTGATGAAGAAAGGTCACTCCTCCTTGAAGCTGAACAATCTCTTTTACAGGTTCAGCCTCATGGGTCTATACAATACTTATGACCATTTCTCGACTCTCTGAAGAAGATCCATGTCTGATTTGTTTATTTTTCAGGAAGAAGTAAAACTGTATGCTGAAGATGGATCAATAGACATTAATGGAAACCCACCATTGAAGCAAAAAACAGGAAACTGGAAAGCTTGCCCATTCATTTTTGGTAAAAAAAAGACACTCTGTTCATATCATTTGTAATACTTATGAGATCCTCCTCATGTCTTATTTTTAACATTCAAAAACCGGTATGCAGCCAATGAATGCTGTGAACGGTTGGCTTATTATGGCATTGCCAAGAATCTTATCACTTACTTCACAAAGGAACTACACGAAACCAATGTTTCTGCTGCTAGACACGTCATGACATGGCAAGGAACATGTTATGTCACTCCTCTACTTGGAGCTCTAATAGCTGATGCTTATTGGGGAAGATATTGGACAATTGCTTGTTTCTCTGCCATTTATTTCAGCGTAAGCTTCTTTTTTTAGCGAAAAAGTTGCTTTAGACAAAGGGTTCATCTACTCAAGATTTAGGTACCATATGACATATTATAGAGATGATAGTTTTTTATGTTTGGTTAAAGGGTTACTGAGCGCTTGGATGGATATTTGGCTAAGGGTTGATAGATAGCCAGGACCGGTCCTAAATACAAGTAAATATTGGTCTATAATATGCAAAAATTTCAAGAGTTAATAAAAATAAACACATAGCCTCCAAACTGTCAAATTATATTATTAAAACTCTTTTAAACTGTCTATATTCTCCAAAATCTTAGGATACGCTAATATAGTCTCTATCTTACTATCTATGGTTTGGTGAATTTTGAACAATGATGAAGAGTCTCACAGCTTCTTTTCTTACCAAACTGTTCTAGTTATGTTCATTTGCTTGATGATGTTCTGTACTTCTTATCTGTTTCAGGGAATGGTTGCACTAACACTCTCAGCTTCAGTTCCGGGTCTGAAGCCAGGGGAATGTATAGGCTCCATCTGTCCACCAGCAACAATAACTCAGCAAGCAGTTTTATTTTCAGGGCTTTACCTCATCGCTCTAGGAACTGGGGGAATCAAACCATGTGTCTCATCCTTTGGTGCTGATCAGTTTGACCAAACTGATCCAAGTGAACGAGTCAGAAAAGCTTCTTTCTTCAACTGGTTCTACTTCTCAATCAACGTTGGTGCGTTTGTCTCATCTACTCTTCTAGTGTGGGTTCAAGAGAATTATGGGTGGGAGCTAGGTTTCATGATACCAACCGTGTTCATGGGACTTGCTACTGCTAGTTTCTTCTTTGGCACTCCTCTTTATAGGTTTCAGAAACCTAGAGGCAGTCCCATTACTAGAGCTTGCCAGGTTCTTGTAGCCGCATACCGTAACATGAACCTCAAGCTCCCTGAAGAAGACAAGAACTCTGACCACACGGGCGGTTACATGTTTCTTGACAAAGCCGCAATGATTTCAGAAGAAGACGCCATTCATGACCCGTGGAAGCTTTGTAGTGTGACTCAAGTCGAAGAAGTTAAGATTATATTACGTTTGTTCCCTATTTGGGCCTCAGGGATCATCTTCTCAGTCCTTCATTCACAGATATACACTCTTTACGTCCAACAAGGACGGTCCATGCAACGAACTATAAGCTCATTCGAGATCCCTCCCGCTACTCTTGGCATGTTCGACACTGCAAGCGTCCTCATAACCGTTCCAATATACGATAGACTCATCGTTCCCTTTGTGAGAAAGTTCACTGGCTTGGCAAAAGGGTTCACTGACTTACAACGTATGGGGATTGGACTGTTCGTCTCTGTCTTGAGCTTAGCAGTTGCAGCTATAGTTGAGACGGTTCGGTTAGGTTTAGCTCGAGAAAGTGGAGATGTGATGACAATCTTCTGGCAAGTTCCTCAGTACTTTCTTATGGGCACTGCTGGTGTTTTTTTCTTTGTTGGTCGGATTCAGTTTTTCTATGAGCAGTCTCCAGATACAATGAGAAGTTTGTGTAATGCTTGGGCTCTTTTGACTACTACACTAGGAAACTACTTGAGTTCGATGATTGTTACGCTTGTGGCGTATTTGAGCGGGAAAGATGATGGTTGGATTCCTTCAGAGAACCTAAACAAGGGACATCTTGACTACTTCTTCTGGCTTTTGGTCTGTCTTGGCTCTGTGAACATTCCAGTTTTTATATTCTTCTCTGTTAGATACAACCAGAAGAAGGTTTAGTAAGGTTTTTTTCTATCCTTCTTCTTGGTTCCACACCTGAAGTATGTAACTCGTTTCGTCATGGAGGATCTTTAGGTATCAAGAAAATGTGTGAAGTAAGAAACATTGATCTTTCTTAAAAATATGTTTTAGATATAATAATGTGCAAAACTTTATTGGAGCGTTGGGAATACGATGAGAAGAGACTAGTGTTGTATGAGAGGAACAAGAAAAGTAAGTGAATGCACTGACTGAATGGTACATGACCTTGAGAACTAAGAGCATCCCTAGCTGGAAAGTTCTCCTAGAGTATTTTGGAAGAAAAAAAAAGAGAAAATCTCATAAAAAACCTTCAAAATAATGTTTAATAGCACTTTAAATCTTGAACTTATTTAATTAGCATATTAAACATTTAATTTGGCTTTTATATCATATAAAACCTTCAATTTGACTTGCTTGTTCATCAAGTTGAAATTATAACATGTTAACCTGCAATAGTAGGTGACGGATTGACTTTTTCTAATTAACAATAAATAACAATAAAAGCCTAAATAAAATTAGAAAATTACAGAAAAAATCTAAAATTAAATTTCATAAAACTCAAAATATTTTCTTAAAATTTTAAAGTTATTAAATTGTAAATTTTGAAAAAATTAAAATATATAAAAACTATAAAATATTATCACAAAAATTAACTAATTTTAACATTATCACCATTAACATGAATACTCTTTGTCATATCATCATTAAGGGTAGAATTTTTGGTTATATCGATAATGACACTTTTAAATACTTAAGAAAATATGTTGATTTTTGCAAATTAATATTTTTGAAATTTTCTGTTTTTTTTTTAAAAAAAAAAAATCTTTTGTACAAATTTCTTTTTTTTTTTAAACTTCAAATTATTTTTTTTTACAAAAATTAAATAATTTTAAACACCATTAAGGGTGATATTTTTGGTTATATCAATAAGGACAAATCTCTCAAATAAACTTTTTAAGTTTTTATCACAAAATAGACATCAAAACTAAAATGACCAAAAATAACATTCTTTATTTTGAAAATTTTCAGTTTTATTTTTTATTTTTAAAATTTGAAATCCTACCCAAAAACTCCACTCTTCAATTCTAAACAAAAAGGTCTAGAATTAGTTAACCCAAAACGTATAAGTATATATGTACTTATTTTTGATAAAATATTTAAGTCTATTTTGTTTTTATTTTATTTTTAAGGTCTATATTTGTGATAAAAAAAATTTTAGGTCTATCCTAGGGAATTTCTCTATCGACAATGACACTTTTAAATATTTAAGAAAATCTTTTCTTTTTTTTAAAAAATTAATATTTTTGAAAATTTTCTGTATTTTAAAAGAAAAATCTATTTTTTACAAAACTTTTATTTAAAAAAAATTCAAAACTTACGAAAATATTTTGATTTTTATTAAATTCGATTTTTCGATTTTTAAAAAAAAATTATTCAGGTTTTTGTTATTATTTATTTTTAATTATATTTATTAATTAAAAAATAGAAAAAAAAAATCAAACCATCACTTGCTATTCCATGTTAACAGGTCACAATTTTGATTTGATGAATAAGTAAGCCAAATTAAAAGTTTTTTGTGATACAAAAAATCAAGTTAAAAGTTTAATATATTAGCTAAATAAATTTAAAATTTAAAATGTTAGTAAGTGCCACATTGAAAAAAATTTATGTGATTTTCCCTTATAGAGGACGGGTTCTCAATACAATACAGAACCTTTGAGATATCTTCTAGACCTCCTAAGCATAATGTTAATCTACAAGTGGATTACTTTCAAAAAGAAACAAAATTTAATAGATAAATAAAAATACTAAAAATCAGTTTTTGTATTAGCTAAAAAAACCAATGAGTATAAGCGTTGTGCATGTTCTAAGAAATAGGAAGTCATTAGTCATGAGTTGGATTCCACCGTGAAGTGAGATTGTTCAAGAGGTTTATCAGTTTATAAACCGTCTCTATCTTCTGTTATACAACAACTGGATGAGATGGTGGCTTGTGAGTTGTACGATTCTCCAATCTAAGCATTATGAGACTAATTGATGACATCTTACCATATGCTTTGAAGGTGTTAAACAAGAAACCGATTGATTGAATCAGAAGAAAAGAAATTGAAGATTGGACGAGCAGAGAATAAACAAACGGAACATGTGAAGTAGATCACAAGAGGAACATGTGTGTGACTAATTAGGTTTCTTTTTTATCATCAGCAAAAACATACATGATTAAGATTCTGCAAAAATTATGTTTAATAATTTTTGGTAAGAAGTTTAATGTGTTAGGTTTCCTCTATCTTCTTAGTTCTTACTACTACTTTTTTTTTTGTTATTGTGAATACTAGTTTTTTTATCTACCAGTAGACGATTCATAAAATTAATTTACAATATAAATTACAGTAAAACCTCTACAAATTAGCTGCATTAAAATCTGTATATATGCAGGATTTCTTAAAATTATAAGAAAAAAACTAAAACTACTATCTAAGATATTAACTAAAAACCATTGAACAAATTATTAACATAGTTGGTAATTTTTTTTTGTAATAAACTTAAAAATTATTGTACTTTGTAACATGGACAATTCTCTCAAATAGATCTTTTTATATATTTGTATTTTAAAACAAAATCTTTTTTTTGGTTAGATGATCTTCTCAAAAAATTAAATTTCTAAAAATCAAGGTGGACTTTTAGTGTGTATTTGTTTTTTTCTGGAACTTCTGAGTTTGTGTGTTTTATTAAGATTTATGAGTTAATCTTTATATGCCAAATTTCTATGTTAAGGCCTAATATAAAAATTATAGGAAAGAAAAAATCTTAAAATAAATATAAACTGTAGCCTTTCATTTGTGTGAACTAAAATTTATGAAAACTGGGAACAAATTAGAAAAACTTACAAACACAGGCACACATCAAAAACAAATGTTCTTTAGTCGACATGAAATGATGGTTTGATTAAGTAAAGGGCCATAAAATGAAATATGGGCTCCGTGCATCAAATGGGCCCATTTATAACGGTTCAAACAATGCTAAGAGAAGAGGAAAAAAAGAAGAATCGCGACTATTATTCGTGGAGAATGGAGGTTCCAGGTTCATCGAAGAAGATGATCGCAACGCAGGAAGAGATTGTCACAGCTAAAGTACCTCTCGGTTACAGAGACCAATGCGCTCATCTCCTGATTCCGCTCAACAATTGTCGCCAGGCTGAGTTCTTCCTCCCATGGAAATGCGAGGACGAGCGTCACGTCTACGAGAAGTGTGAGTACGAGCTCGTCATGGAGATAATGCTCGCGATGAAGAAGATCCATGAGGAAGAAGCCAAAGCTAAACAGAATAAACTTCAAGGGAACATTGTTCCTCTAATTCCTAAGACCGCTAATGCTTAGGCCCCGAGATTCATTCTTCAAAATTTACGGTTAGTTTAATACCGTTTGAATTAGGGTTTTGGTTTAGCCTAAACCGGGTAGGTGATTGGATTGGAATTAATGAGATTGAATCTTGTTAGATTTCTTATGCATTTTTTTTTGGGTTGATTGATAATTTCAGCTATGTCACCTGCAGGATAACAAGTTCCAGTTGTTCATTTTACGACTAATCGCAGCGTGTGGTCGTGACAAATATAGTTATTTCGTTGACCTGAAAAATTTACTTCAAAAATTTAAAATATCTGATATTTCCAACAACTATTCGTAAGATACTGTTAATAGACAAACGAACAACATTTAGGGTCAGGGTCCGAATGTTACAAACCACACCACACGTAATAATAAAAAACTCTACATATACCTATATATCTATATGTTTTTTTTACTAGTAAGACTAGACCGCACCGCAGTTGTTCCGCAATTGCCTCACTGATAAGCTTCATATGTTAAATCTTAAAGTTAACGGTACACAGCTCAATTTTCATTTTTTCGTCAATCTTGAACACAAAATCTTCACATTGTTAAGTCTTAAAGTTAACATGACGCAGCCTAATTTTCATTTATTCATCAATCTTGTACACTTAAAAGCTTCATATGTTAGTCTTAAAGTTTAACAGTCACAGCTTAATTGGTTCTAGACTATATATATATATTTAGTGTCTGACTTTTGTTCTCTGGCTTCTAGGCTTACAAGGTTGTAAATTGTTTTGTTACTAGAGTCACTTTGTGTTACTTGTAAATGCTTAAGAAGCATTATGAAAATACAGCCACGCATAACAGAATTAGCTCTTTGTCTGACCCTCTTCTGCGTTAAAGCTCCCTGCGAGAGATACACTCCTTGATTTGGTGGATTATATACAGTTATGTCACAAAAGCTATAGAAAGATTCTATTCTTCTCCTTCTCACTTGCTATCGAGTACTTCTCTTACATATTGTGTGCTTCTTTTTATTGTCCTTACCACACTATGATTTGACAGCAATGGGTTTTTAAAGACAGATCCCTACTAAATGTTTGGTCTAAGATTCTCTAACATGTCAATGATTTTGTTTCACCTGATTCTTTTATCCATTCTTCTGAGTTCTAATTCTTACTCTGAAATATATTTGGTCAGGGATTCTCTGGAACTTTGAAGAAGGTGGGGGCTCTGCTTTTCAATGTTTTCTTCTTGTTAGTGATGAAACATCTGTTGCTACATTTTCAGAGGTCTCTCTCTCTCCCTTTGAAACTGTTACCCCAAAATATGTTGGTTTTCTGTCTTTATGAAATGAATGGTGTTACTATCATTGCGATTTTGGGCCGAACAGGGCTAGACTCTCAACTATTCCCACCTTCCTACTATAACTTTGACTCCTGCTTAGCTGTTTTTCCAATATTTCTTACATTTATTTAATGTATTCTGCCACTCTCACCGTTTTAATTTTTCGATTTTGATCTTGAATGGAGTTTGTGATGACGTTTTGTCAGCTTAAAATAGTTTTCTCAACCGAATGTTCGGATTTAGAGTGTACTAATCTTAACACACATCAACAAATTCGAGAGAAATAAGTTTTTTTCCACCTCCTTAATCATCTATGTTCCCTGTGCAAAAAACAATTAATGTAGTATAGAGTGGTCGGAATTTTACATTGTAATTTTTAATATTTCATTTCCTCGATATGGCTGCATAAACTGTTCTATAGTTTTTTTATTGTTATTAGCTGTAAAAAAACGATAACTCCACATTTCCACCGTTAAATTATTTAGTTAAAAGAATATGTGTTCAATATTTGAGCGAAACCAACCTATTATTTCACATAACATTTTACAATTTGACTCACAGTCCCGTGGGTATGCGATATGTGTACCAGAGATACACACGTTACGGGAGCATATAAGAAAAAGTTCAATATTTTGTAGTTATCCCCGTGATATGGAATGAGAATAAAAGAGGTTATGCTAAGAAAACATATCAAACCTAATTTCAAATCTTAAGAATGAAAAGTCAAGAGTTGTTTGGTCCTACTTCCAATAATTATGCACTCACTACTCTAAACCTTTTCACATAACCATGCATGTCTATATCTATCTATGTATACATTTTTGTATATTATTATAATATTTGCCTTTGATTTGTAAATTAGTTGTGGCCCATCCATTCTCAAATCACACTTTTAAACAACTATCTTTCACTTTTGTTCTTGTATTATTCTAAGTGTGAAAGGTTAATTTTTCTCCGTTCTCTCTAGGTGTTTTATGGATTACACCTTTATACTATTTTTTATGGAACTTGCCTTGTTCTTGCATGTGCTATGATCAAATTCAGTCAATGGGTGATGAGAAAATTGACCCAAGTAATACTTACAGTTGTTAATGACCTAAATCTATATATAGTTTGGTGAGATTTGCACCTGAATATAATTTTTAAAATATTTTAAAACTAGAATTAGACAACAACAATATTACATGATATAATGTGGTATTTTATTTGTGCTTTAATCTTTAATTATATATTTTATTTATAGTTTTAGATTTTAGTGTAACATTTTAATTATCAAATAATATTTCTATAATATTTGTATACAAGTGATGATGTGATAGTTATTTATATTTTTTTATGAATTTGAATTAGTTATAATAAATATAAGTTTCAAGTTTTGCCTTTGGAATATAACACTTTCAAACTTCATATATAGAATTTACAAAACTATATAATAGAGAGTCTTTTTGAAGATATTCTAAATAACCAAAAAATTAAATAAATAAAAAGGAAGAATGAATGTATCGTTTTGCAGTCCAGAATCCTATGGGGTTACATTATCTTTTATATATGTATAAAGTCTGATGATAAAGAAAAAAAACAAACAAAGAGAATTATTGAATTGTTTGATTGTGGTAAAAGCCATGAATCATGGATCTCTACAGTCAATTACTCATTAAATTTCTCTTGGAGCTATTGTCTACCGCCAGAATCATTCAATGTATTGTTTTTATTTTATTTTTCTCCCGTTGGTTCTTTCTTACTCTATTTATTTATTTATTTTTGGGTGAAAATACTGTATTTCTTATCACGGAACAATAACAACTTTTCCACAAGAAGTTTTGATTAATCCACCCTTAATCCATTGGCAGATTATTATTGAAAATAGCAATTTTGAGAAATTGAAAAAGTGATGGCCGATATGAAAGCTGAAATTAATACGTTATATCACACAGTATATGGATTTTTTTAATGTTTGTGTTAAAAAGTTAAAGTTTAAGGCGATTTTTTTAAAAAAAAAATCGATAAATGGTATCTGATTATTTGACATACAAAAAAGGAGTTTTTTATTTTTTAATTAAAAAAAAGGGCAGTACGTTTATACTCCTACAACTATGGGAAAACAATTCAGTGGTTTAGCTCAACAAGTCTATGCAGTATGGTGAACCATACGATAGTTTACTCAAATCCTAGTTTAGGAAATGTGATTCAGAAAGATCATGTGTAAACGTTTATCTGAATACTACGCTACCAATTAACAAGTATTAACCAGAAGGTGGTGTGTTTTGGCTGAAGAATAAAATTGTTAGTCAAAATTTTGATCAGTGATAAGAAAAGAGATATTGTATCCGGTTATAACAAAAACCATACACATTTCAAATTAAAGAAGGATACAAACCATTTTGAATGTCTCTATTTGATAATTTTGATAAACGATCATAACCTAGATAGCTTTGTGTAATATTATCATTGTCAATGTACAAATAATATACGTAACTCGAGCGTCTTTGAAAAGCCGGTGGTTGAATATTCATAATTTAATTACCGTCTAATCAAACATTAACCTTTTTCAACAATACATACTTTACATTCTCTTTTGGTATGCATCCAGAATTCCACGTGTGTTTAACAATTCAGAGAATGTGCATGAATGAGAAGAAAAGACAGAGCATAGTACTCTAAAATAAAGGTCAATGACTTCATTTTGTGTATAGATTTATATAGTTGATTTTGATTATGTCTGATTTAGGTTATTCTTCCTGGGGTAAAGCCGTAAAGGTCTTATGTAGCCGTAAAGGTCTTATGTGTAGATTAAAGACGGCACTTTGTTAAATTAATTTTCATTTATTTTTTCTCTTAATTGAATATTTATTTGGTTTTTGTAATTCTTGATACCACGTGAAACAACGTGTTAGTTACTTATATCATAAAACAATAGTTATTTATAATAGTACGTGAAATCATACGCAAAATACTATTTTCATTTCATTTTAATCGTCGTTTTAGGTTTATAAACACAAATTAAAGGTTTCACAAAAAAAAACACAAATTAAAGAAAATATTTAACTGTACATATTTTTAAAAATAAAAATATATTTACTTAAAAATGTTTATATATATATACATATATATCTTTTTGTATACATAACTATATTCCAACCAATAGAATAAATTTTGTATTGAAATTCTAACACTATACTTTATTTTCAAAAAAAAAAATATATATATATATATATATATATATATATTTTACAACAACAATTATATTAATACAGAAATAATATTTGATAATCAATATTGTGGTGATCTAATGGTTTACATTAAATGAGGAGTCATCATGATCAAGGGCTAAAATCAATTCCCCTAATACAGAATTGATAATTTCTTATTTGGTTAGGTAACATGGGTTTCTAACTCTCATGGAAGCACCGTAGCCTACTAATTAAGGTTTAAAGGCTTCTACATTTAGATATGAGGTTCGAATCTCAGATTATGCAATTTCTTGCATATTACAGAAAATCCAAGTTTCAAATCTCAGAAAAAACGATTTATTAATGCAGACTACGGAGAGAAAGATTTACAGAGAATCTTCAACATGGAGCAAGTAAATCTGGTTAGGAGTGGATCTTCATAGGATGACTCAGATGATGTATTAGGCGTTGATCCTTATAAGACAAATAGTATTGTCGGCTGTTGAATCGTCTATGAAATCTTTCTCATAA